ATGCGTTTTGGTACTGCTGCAAAAATGGTAGCTTCTTGATGATCTAGAGCAAATTGTCATGGCCAAGGCATCAACATAGGCAAGAAGGCAATGATACCTCTTCCAAAAACCTGGATGTGTCCCTATCAGATTGATCTTTCCATGACAAATCTCCATTCAAGTAGACTTCTGCTGCATTAGGTATCGCTTTCTAACCATATCACAGTAGATGGTGAGTCTTGACTTGGACCTAGGATCTTCTCACTGCAGATATTGTATGTGTACTTACCTGCAATGCCTTAGCTTCCTGTTGGCTCATCCCTGGTACCTTGGATGCCCAACAGGCAGACTTCCATTGTGCTGGTCGTTCTATAAGCTGGTTTGGATGCATCAACCAGGTGAGACAGAGGAGGAGATTGGGGGGGGGACCAGGGTCAACCTGTACGAGGCGGCTGTGAGAGAGCTTATGAAGGCATGGGTAAGTCATCGGGAAAGTGTTCAAACATCCCAGGTAGCTTCTCGCTCAGTGAAATCTCTTGGCTTCCCAAGCTAACATCTTCTCCAAAAGGATCTCGGCAGACCGCATGGGTGTTTCTGCTCCTGCATCGGGAAAAAGTCCGGGTGTTGAAGCCTTAGAGCCTTCATCAGGGAAACCTCCGGCATCATTTAGCCCGAACTGGGACCTCAAATGATCGAAGGCAGCGAAAGCTGGTCAAAACAAGCCAGCGCTATGAACAGTGTCCAAATTAGGCACTATCAGAAGGTTATGGCTTGCGCCATGAAGATGACGCCATGGGCGACTATCTCATCTGCGTTGAGCAATCACTGTTATGGTGTAGATATGTGTTCTTTATAGCGACACGAGCAAGAATGTGGGCTATAAGCCATCTGATGCCGGCTCTAAAAGCGATCACGCTATCGCACTCAACTTATGAGTCGTGACTCAACCGGGCTCCCTGTCAATTTTCTTTACAGTTTCCCAATGTCTCCAACCATCTCTTCCCTCGCCATTCATGGTCACGGTATCATCGCTTGAATACAGGTGTGGTGTCATAGGCGGCCCTCTATACTTAGTAGCTGACCATTGATAATAGCACTGAAATCAAATCAGGTATTCAATGGTATATTTGATGCTATGCTCCTGAATAATGCAGCGAAACCTTGAGCCACACAGCAAATACTTATACACCATGGCTGGCACGAGATGTGCCCAGTAAGCCTTGCTACAGTTGAACTGACCTCACTTAAAAGGGAGATAATTCAAATAATTGTTGGGTACACAGTCTCAAATGGCACAGGTCACTTATCTATGAAGTGCAGTTTTAGATAGAGCGTACAAAGGATAGCGCCACCTTGACAACTCACAGAGATCAGGGTTTCGCTGGTCCTCTGCCTCTAAGACGCCGCGCAAGTGAAGTATCGGAAACTGTCGACACAGCGCCGCAGCAGCGATTTCCATCATCAGAGGCCCGCGGTGGACAAATCGCACGCGCCGTAGAGAAGCATATCGCGGAGACTCTGAGAGCAGCCACGCGATGTCGTCCCAAACTTCTCCGTATGTTTGGCTGGGCATGAAGAGGCAGACGTCGAAGACCAGTGTCGTGAGATTAGGTGCTTCGATGAGGCGTAAAAGTTTTGTTATCCAATGCATATATTCCGGAACGAGGTCGTAAACTCGAATGCGCAGCGTCCTCAGTGCCGTGCTGCGTTCGATGCGGAGCCATTGGCCAATGTCTATGTGGCACAGGGGTTCAGCCGCCGCAGTTGTGGGAATGATGAAGATGCAGACTTACCTTGCAGTCTGCTATAGCCATCACACGAGAACCGGCAGCAGATCGTCAAGCTTTGGAGAGTGGTATCCAACTTTGATAGAATTTTGCCTGCGTAGCGGAGGTCATCTTCGTCGTAGAGATGATCGAGTTCGAGCTCGTAGAGGGTCGTGTGCGCCTGGATCTTGTCCAGCCATTGGCACAGTGCTTGGAGCGAATAGTGGGCCGACGTGCTGAGGCTGTCTAGCCGTAACGTGTACGGCGGTTTCGTAAGTGGCTGCCCCCACGAGATGCTGTCTAGCTGTAGTCTTCTCAACGCAGGTAGCGCAAGCAGGATATCTTCGAATTCTGCGAAAGTCGCAAAAGTGCAAGCCCAGAAGCGAACTGTTCTGACTTTAGCGAAGTCTGACAATGCATCGAGGAGGTTCCGATCGAAGCCATGGAGTATTTGCCACTGTATATATTCGAAATGAATGGTAGAAACGCTAGGCAGCCGGGACGCAAGGAGTGCGGCGGTAGAAGGGACCCAGCCCTGCAGGCCCTGAGATGTGTACTGCTTTTGCGACATGTAGTACGAATAGACGTTGAACTTCAGGACTCGAACGCAGTTTGTGATCTCCAAGTTTTTGTGGATGAGGCTGCAGAAATGTTGCGCTCGCTTCTCGCTGCTCAGCGTTACCGTGTGGTAGAGGACCTTCCGCGCATAGGACAGCCATGAGTGATTGGTCAGAGCGCACTGCGCGAGAGCCTTGGAATGATCGCGGAGCTCGTCAACAATACGCGCCACAATTTCGGCAGGCAGATTCATGATCGGTAAACTGTTAAACTGAGAATCAGCTCGCTGCGAAGGATACCATTCGAATGCTTACCCGTCGTTGTGAGAAGAGTCCTTGATGGCGCGCGGAGAGGCCGCAGTCCCTTATACAGCCGGCTGCAAGGGTCAGCCTAGCCGGTTATGTAATGTCACCATGGGCGAGGACGGCATCCCAGAGCAGCGCCTTGTATCAAGCATGCTTCCATCAGAGATTCACGTCCCTATGGTTCGGCGGGTAAGTTGCTGCATTGGCGAATACCTCAGGAATCACGAACCCTTTGAGATTGCAGATTGTCGCTGGAGCTCTTCACACTCGGTGTCTGTAATAGCAGCACGCCGGTGTAGCCTTGCGTTTTCCTGCACCAACCTTGTATCGCGAGCGAGCCGCGTTCTGGGTTACGTGGGGCAGTTGGGAAACGAGGGATTGGGGAGGGGGGGGAGGGGGGATAAGAGATTGGCCGACATACCTTCCATCCAAAAACACTACATCATTCGCAAACGGATCGCCTAGTATGGCATGGACAGGGACCATGTCCCAAATCGCATAGCTGCCACTGAGTAACGGGAGTTCATGAGAGTTTCGCTCCGGGTAATCAAGGGCGTACCACTTACAAAACCTGTAGATCCTGTTCGAATTGATATGCGGTTTTTGAGACGTCCCAGAGATCGCGCTAACGAACAGCTAATCCGATTGGGCGGAATAATGCAATACCAGAACAAAAGTAACCAGCGAGAGGCCGCGCGGCTACCGGCGTGTGTGGCGTCTGTAGGGTCCACGAGTTACTGGGTCTCTTGGAGGCAGACGTAAGGTTAGTCCGGCGTAAGAGTTGACAGATGGAGCAGAGCACCACGTACATATGTATTGCCAATGCCTGTCCCTAAGCGAAGATTTGGTTGCCCAAGCGAGGCTCTGTTTCCGGGGGTGGCAACGCCGTAATCTAAAGTTTCTAAACTTGCTGTGAAGACCCTTCCTGTCAACAAAACGAGACAAATGAGAGCGCTGCGGAACAAGGGCCTAGGATGAAAGACCCTGGAAATCAGGCCCTAGTGCCTGTATCCGTAGCTGAATGTCCGCATATCTGGGTACCAGGGAACCTTAAACCGCTGAGCTTATTGATGGTCTCGCTCGAGATCAGAACCTTATAAGCCAATTTCATTATGCCGCACTAGGGCGCAAACATTTCCGTTTACGCAACATCAACTGGATTCCAGCTGACAGCTCCGGCGCTGCCTTTGTCCAGACCGTCCAGCTGCCTCATGTCGTCGGCGTCCAGATCGAAGTCGTACAGATCGGCGTTGGACCTGATGCGCACCATGTTCGAGGAACGCATGAGGGGTACAAATCTAGCATTGCCCATGTACAACATGGCGTCTTGCGAAGACAAGACAGAGGACATACCCGCGCTGCAGTGACCATCTCAGCAGAATCTGCGCCAGGTCCTTGTTATGTTTCTTCGCGATGCTCGCAACCACCGGGTGGTCCATCGCTCCTCGCACTATGGAGCAGTACGCTTCGACAATAATATCATGCGCGTTGCAGTAGTCGACGATAGACTTCTGTTGGCAGAACGGGTGCAGCTCGACCTGATTCACTGCAGGCGGTTCGAGCCCCGCACTCTTGATCTCTTCGAGGTGATGTATATTGTAGTTCGAGACACCTATGTCGCGCACTTTGCCTGCTTTTTTCGCGTTGATGAGCGCTTTGTAGGTATCGACACGGAGCTGTGTACCGTTGGGCGGGCTGTGTATGAGATATAGGTCGAGGTAGTCTGCAATTTAGGTAGGTAAGTTATCAGATGGAGCGTGTCACTAGGTGTGGCACAAACCAAATCCAAGCGTGTTTAAAGACAGATCGACGGCCTGAGAAGCCTTGTCATATCCAGCATCCCAATTAGGGACCTTTGAAGCTGACTTGATAAGACAATATGACCTTGAACGCGAGCCAACGTGCACTCACTAAGGAATATCTCCTCCCTAGGAATACCACTCTCCCGAATGCACTCGCCCACGATCCTCTCGTTTTTATACATCTGAGCGGTGTCCACATGTCTGTGGTTTGTGCATTAAAGTTCCAGACGTGTTGACACTAAAAGCCGTCCTATAGCATACCTGTAGCCGACTTTGAGCGCCTCCGCGAGGGACGGCTTCGTCAGTCCAGCTAAGTCCTCCGTCCTGCCAAAACCTACACCAAAACCAAGTATAGGAATCTGGCTTCCTGTGTCACCCAAAGGAATAATTGGTCTATGCTCAATGTGAAGCTGCACAACGGGACTGACCTGAAGACAAATATTTCGTAGACCGAAAGGTCAGCGCTGAAGACATAGCGCGTTTGATGCCGGTATTCGCGATGTTTGGGATGTTTCGAAAGTTAGTAAGTACGAGCGAGAGTAGACGCAGAGAAAAAACGGTCATATCGCGACTGCAGCGACTTATATACACGCGTGCCTGCTCCGGCGACCGGAGGTTTTGACATTTTCACCCGAGGAGCCCAGCGGCGCACTGAATAAGACGCGGTACGTCATAGAAGAAATATAATGAAAAATGCCTGCCGAACGATGTCGTAACTCATCTGCATAGCTAAGGTTTTAGTCGGTATCTGATCTCCGTGTTAGCGGATAACGAGGCCATCGTTGGCGCGTCGCCCACAAGGCTGATAGAGCATGCTGTGGAAGTGAACTCTAACACTGTTTATCCAGATACCGTAAATGTGAGATGAAGGAAAAGCTGACAGCGCCCTGTGACAATTAGCTACAGGCGAAGGAGATCTGAAAGCGCCCAATATCTGACGAGGTAAAGGATAACGAGCTGGAGGGGGCGCCTACATCAGATATCCTGGATTTCTCCTCGGCGGCATCTATATAGCAAAAGACCCGAGGATACCCTTCCAGATAAAGTCCCTCGGATTACCCGACGACTGAGCATACAATGACAGGAACATCTCGTCGGTCGGGCCTGCATAGACACATGTGAGTTCTAGTATCACTGCTGCACAGTGGACACGTACTGAAGTGTAGAGCGTTGTCCATGGCCCAGATTTCGAAAAGAGCTGCAGCCTCTGCGACCTGGAATTGCGAAGGAACAGTGATATTTTGCAGGCCCTTCGAATACTCTACGAGCTCAGGCTCGCGACGCAGGTACGGGTTCACGGGGCGATCGTGTGGAATGCCGAGCGCTTCGCGAAGCTCAACCGGAGTCTGGAAACGGGTATGTGTCGTCGATACAGCACCGACGACCGCTCCACGTTCCTTGTAAGATCGAGTCAATACAATTGACAAGGCTAATTTAATGGGAGGATGGCAACTTACAAAGTAGCGTTTGCCGCTGATAAACTCCAGTAACAGGCGGGGCAGAGAAAGATGATAAGGTTTGACACCCTGGAACTGCTGGTCCCTATAGTAGGTGTTGCAATAGAGGGCTTGGAAGTCGTCTACCGCGAGCAATACTGGGTGGCTGAGCCGGAGTTAGCCTAAGAACGCTCCAAGCATGAAGGATAAGCGCACGTCTTCTGTCGTGACACTTCCTTGAGAAGTGTCTCTAGAACGAAAGGTGATAATGCTTTGTCTCGCTGAGCAACGTTGAGGAGTTCGTTGATGGGCGTTCCGATAGGTAAGGCACGACGGCCAATGTTGAACTGCTTGGTGAGTTGGAGCGCGCCTAGAAAGCGCGCGTTGACCTGCTGGAAGCGCTGCAACAGCTGGAAAGAGAACTCGGGCTGGAGGTATGTCCGTGTTCGGGCGTCATAGACGTATTCAGTGGACGAGTTCACGAGATTGATGGCTACAACGCTGTCAATATGCGAGGGGTACCCGAATAGATGCTCACGAACCTCGAGGAACGTAAAGGACTATCCAGTCTTTTGATTTGCAGTATTCTACCGCCTGCAGTAAGAGATAGCTCTTGCCAGACCCTGTCAAGCCAGCTGTGTGCATTTGTCAACTTCGCAATCGAGAAAACTAGTGGCGACCATACGCACTTATGACCGCCCTGGTCTCCACACTCGACTTCGAGCTCGCAGTCTCCAGCTTCTCAATCGTACTTAGCGTCACGTCTCGAACAAGAGAGCAAGGCTTTGACAGCACACGAAACTACGGGCGAGTTGGAGTATAAGATCCTGCGTGTACAAAGACAGAGGAAAACGGAGACGTACTTCGAGTAGCATATTCGTTGGAAGGCCGTACGCCTGGATAATGCCGCCCTGTGGTTTTGTGAACTGCATTACTCGACCAGACGCGTCTTTGGTGGTGAGCGCGTCCTGGTCACCCATGTGTCAGCTTTGGACGCAGAGACAGCGTTTGTTATCGCTCACAGCACGAAACGTAGGAAGAGTGAGCTCTCTCCTCTTTACCGGGTCCAAGAGTTCGTGCCTCATTTGGTTAACTGGCATCGGAAGGAAGGTCTAACAAAATCATGTGTATATCATGAGTGGCATAGACGGAGACGCGTACTCCAATTCGCTTGCTGCTCTTGGCCGTCTTTGGAGCCTCCGGTTCAAAAGCATCCTTAGCTTTGCTCTCCTTCGAGGCTAGGCATCCAAAGTCACATCACAGCCGGAACGAGTTTAAAGGGTCGAGTGCTTACTACGGTCCATTCGCCTTCCGACGGCGTAAGCCCTGAGCTGCGTACGCGCCGAGGCCCTTGACGGACTTGTGAGGCTTGACGCTATGACATTTGGCCGAGGGAATGGGGCCGTCCCGAAGATAGACATGGTTGGTCGAAACTTGAGCTCGGCCGCTCGGAAAGCGCAGACCGCGGGCGCCAGTTAGTCTCAGCTCCCGCTTCTGCGAAGTATGGAATATGCGCATCAGCGGAGTATCATTTGCCGACTACTGGAAGGAGTCTGGGCGACGAGATAGTATCTTCCGTAGTCTGTACGCTATAAAGTGCTACTGCAAAATCCAGAGGCCAAACAGACGGTGGTGATCTGGATACAGGCATAGGCCGTGACAAGCGTACGGTACCCCAGGACAGCGACAATAACACGTCTACGGCCTGAGTGTCATCTAACCTAACAAGGATAACGCCTCCCCTTAGGCACTGGCATTGTCTCCTGTCGAGTACCCGGCCTTCTGGACTCTCTAAAAGATGCGTTCGCAACGACGGAGTTTCAGTCTAAAGTTTTTGAGCCCTTGGATAATACAGTCAGGATTCCGTGAGTCTATGTCTATATATGTACTACTCCGAAGCACTGCGCTCAACGAAGTTAGGACCGAGACATACGATGACTTGAAACCACCAGGGCAGTATGCGTGCTGTCCCCCGTCCCTAGGGATATATGCTCACGTCTGATTTCAATTGTCCGGTGCATGATGGCGTGGCTGCACTCGCCGTCACAAGGCGAGCAACGGGGCCTTTTCTTTTCTTTTATCTACATGGACTCCTGTGCCATCGCGGACGATATTATCACCGTAAAAGCAAACATACAAGGATTTTCGTAAACTGGTGGCGAGATGCGCAGGCCACTATAGAGCCCTGGGCAAGCTAGCAAAGGAGCTTGAGGGTACAGTTGCGCAGTTCGGAGTCATTGCGGGACACAAG